CAAATATATCTTATTTTCTACAACCATATTCCATGGTATTTTGGTGAATTAATTGTCTTAAAAAAACCTCAATTGATTTAAAATTCTACTCAAAAAGAAAGTGAGGGGATTTCTCTAGCACAGAAGAACATTAGTAACTTTATTTTTAATGTAATTAATATACAAGGACTAGTTACTTGGGTTATGTACATCATATTGCATAACCTCATGAAAAATACCATGCTATGAGACGTTCAAATTCGTACAAATAAACCCATTGATTTTCTTCTGCCCTTTAAGTACACTTCAGGAGATGTTAAAACAAATTCTTGAAACATATCTTAATATATTAGTGCTAGCTGATTAAGGCCATGAAATGCTGAGCATGTTTGAATGTCTGTATCATTCTTCATATTTTTACAACTGATTAGAGAGGGATCTCTCATCCATACTTTTTTCAAAGAAATGTTGTAAACTCATTGTCGTCAACTGATGAGTAGTTGCCAATGGTTTTCAACTTTGCATATTTTAATTTCCACCAATAACTCGGTGATAGAACCTCATTCAAACCAAGATAAAAACAAAAAGACCATTGTTGTTGTCAGAGAAGGATGTGTGTATTTGTTTACTGGTATTTTATTACGACATTTTTTTCACTACATTAAGTTTAAACTCACAATTTGCTTCCTGCAATAGTAAAATAATGAGTGAGACCTGAAGCAACATTTGTGACTTTGACAGCAATCTTCTCCTAAGCCCTTCAAATAATGAAAACTAACTGGCACAAAACATTTTATTTATTTTATTTTGGTGATTAAGACCAAATTTTTCACAAAGTACTGTATTCCTAGACTTCAAAAATGCTTTGTTGAAATGTTCAATTCCCTCACCCAGAATGCTTAAGTAGAAACGAGAAGATCTCTCTTTCTTTGGTAGAGAATTTGCATGATGAATCATAAGTACACTTGTTCTCCTTGACCCATCGTATGTACAGCTCTGTCCTTTGCTTTTCTTTCTGTTTGAGGAAGGGAGCCCAGTACTATTGTTTGAGTATACTGGTCTAAATAACTTTCAGATTCTCTTTACATCCTTTTATTCTATAAACTATTATAGAATATCCTGTAAATATTCTGGGGAATACATTTGTTTGATGCAGCTGCAATACTATCTGAATCCCTTTGGTAACTGTATTCATCAGGTGGACAGCATGAGCAAGCAACAAATCCAATTTTGTTACTAGCAATTTTTGCAAGTCTTTTATAACTTACACTCTGACCCTGATAATACTTAACTGAGAAGTAAATATTATCTGTTAATATTTGAAAATAACGAGAAAGCAGAATTCACATAGTCAATTTTTGATTTATGTTTCCAACTTGCACTATGAGAGTTACAGGAGTGTAGTGTTTGCTCACAAGAACTGGCTTTTTTTGTGTGAAAATAGCCCCCAAGTTTAGGATTTAATCTTATTAAATAGTCATTATTTTACAGTAAAATTCAGTTGAATAAAAAAATCAACCTGTTTAAAATTAGGAAGATTTTTGCCTAATTATGGTGCATAAATATCATGCCTTCAATATGTAATGAGGTATTCCTGATATTTAACAAAAGATTCTGCCATATATGTTCTGTGTTATTTCTGACTATAATACTTTTTGCTTAATTTGTAGGATTCTGAACTTCTAATTTCTAAAGAAACATATGATCTAATTTACCTTAGTCTGCACTAGGTTTTTTCTTGAATTCATATGCCTAAAAGTCAAACAAAAATATCTAATGTCCAGTATCATTATTTTGTTTGTATACTACTGAATATTTTAACTTAAGCTATAAGAAGAAAACAAAGGCAAAAAACCTAGAGCTTTATTTTTTCAATGTAACACTGGACAAAATAAATTCTCATTTGGAGCATTATGAACTTGAAACAGCTTGAAAAGAGAGTAGCTTTTCACTTCCTTGTTAATCTGGACCAAGAAAGATGAACAATGAAAAGGAAGAAAAGAAAGGATGGATGTGGGAAGAGTATCTCCAGTTTCTCCATGAATACATTTATAGTTATGGTAACCCTGTACCTAGATATGGGGTTCCATTTCTGAATTCTCTTTTATAATTTAGAGACTTTTCAAGCTGTTCGGATGAAACTGAACAGCTTCAACTGAAACCTATAACTTAAACCTGTGATTGCTTCTCTACTCTGTTTCCAATCTAACTATATGCAAAACTTTACTATTTTTATAGGGTTTACTCTCTTTTCCCCTGATCAGTTTTAACTGTTAAGGGTTAGGGTTCTAACATCGAACCTCTTATAGTTAATATGCAAAAGCATGTGATGATTAGAATTGGACACAATACTTAAGGTACAGAACCTGAACCAGAGTAGAATAAAAATATTGCTTTCTCTGTTTGAAAGCTGTTTTATTTAAATAGAGCCTGAAAATTACACAGCTGGTTGATTCTGACTTACTTTAAAAAGCTAATGGTTGAGTCTGATTAATGTTTAGGTGAGAGACCACCATGAAATTTCAGGAAATTTCAGGAGAAAGCAGTAGTTGAGCACTTCTGTGTCGTTGCCAAAAAAAGCCTCAGAGAGGTATTCATGAACTCATAAGCTTGATTCAAAGGAAGCATAGCTTGATAAAAAGGAAGCATAGCTTTTAACATTTATATGTACTTTGTTTGCAGCAATTTCATGCTGTGATTCATATTCTGCTCTAATGATTCATATTGTTAAACTAATTCTCCAAGCTTATAGTTGTGCATTTTTCTAAATATAATTGATTTCATTCTTCTAAATATAAGAAATTGTGTTTTTACTGCTTTTCTAATTTTCTAGGATATTAAAAATCATTCTGGATTTTCTTTGTCTTCTAGGTCTTAATTAGAGAGGTAATTTGATGTAGCGGTTAAGGCACCAGACTAAAAATCAGGACACTTGAGTTCTAGTCTCACTGTAGGAACAAATTCAATTGGGTAATGTTGGGCCAATCATGTCCATTAAGTCCTTGGAAGAAGGCAATGGCAAACCATTTTGGAAATCTTGCCAAGAAAAATGCAGGGACGTGTCCTGGCAGTTACCAGCAGTCAACATTGACTCGAAGTCCCACCCCATTCCACCCCGTCTTAATTATTCCATCTAATCTTGCGATATCTACAGCTTAGTAAGATTTCCCTTTCAAGTCATTAGGAAAAAATATGGAGCGTGAGCCCAGTACCAAACCTAGTAATACTCCATCTAATCATTTCTCTGTTTTGGAATCATTAAATAGTCTTCGGAGGTAGTTCTCCAGTAGATTGAGCTAATGATTAAAAAATTGCTCTACAATACTTTATTTCTCACATATATAGCAATTGTTAATTGATTCTGCAAGTTTATTCAATACATCTTTTGAAGTTCCTAGATTAGTTCAACTAGATGCAGAGAACTATACTTATTCAAATCTTTTTAGGTTTTCTTGGTCCATTTTTCTATGAGCCTAAAACTTGAAATGCTTCCTATTTTGCAGATATGAAAAAATATCAGCAAACCTGGATTTTTTTTATCATGTCTGATTATCTTTTATGCCATTATCATTCTAGAATCCATATTAGATGCTAGAATCTTGGATATGTGAAAGAATATATCAAAATCCAGTAAAGCATGCATCAGTCATTTCCACATCATTTTAAACAAATTATTTTGTACATTGTTTTATAGTACTATATAAAGTGGCAATATTTGGTAACTTTTAGGAAAGTTATATATTTGTATATTTATTTTGCATAGATTTCTTCTATTCTTTTCAAATTACAAAAGTGTAAAGTTTTGAAATGAAGAATACTCATGTTAAAAATAATCTTAAACATTGTGTGGTGGGACATGCTCCTGGCTTCTGTTAAGAATGTTAATATTTATCAATATGGCATTAGACAGTGTTTTCATGCTTGTCTTAATTTAACAATGAATTGCTTAATTAGCCTATGTGGGCATTTTATATCAAGATTCATTTATATGCTTTTAATTTTAAAAAATGTTTGTGAATCCTGAAATAAAAAGTGCTCTGATTTTTAATAACATTTATTCATTGCTTTTTTCTAATGATGTCTACATTTATATTAATCTATAATATGACGATTATAAAATACATCAAACATGCCATAGCAATATATTTCTGTAACTTGCTTATTAGCAGAAATACATTATTTAATACATGAATAATGGCATCTGTATATAAATCCTAGAATATCATTGTATGGACTTTTTAAAAATGTACTAGGGTAGGTTCAGGACACAGCAATTAACACAACAAAAGATTTCTAACATTGAAGGAATTACGCACATTTGATTTCTGTTAAATAATAAAGGAAAAAAGGGATGGGATGAACTGCCAGTAAAGGCATATAATAATTATGCAAGCTTCAGTTCTCCCTTATCTAACAGGCTAAGAAAGGCAATTTTTAAAAAAAAGCAAAGGCTCAACTTTTAGGGTTATAACTTTCTAGAGTTTACAGTTGTATAGTTTGCATCTCTATTTAGTTGCCAATCAAGGTAATGTAAGTGGCTTCCCTACAGCAAGATAGGCTTGAGGTAGCCTAAATTAAACCTTCCTGTTATATCATTGGGATATTTAAAAAAAAATCTCCTTACTTTAAAGTGTGACTTTTAGTTTTAAGAATATAGAAAATATGAATATAGAATATAGAAAAATATAGTTATATCCAAGCAACTATTTTTTGCAACTTGGAAGAGGNACCTTTCTGGTTCAAACATCATGATGTGCAACATGCATCATAGAGTTCCATTACTGATGTGGGAGAATTTTTCAACAGACAATACAGAAAACTCCACTGAAATTAGAATGTATGGAAATTACTGCTTTTGATTTTTAACTCTGGTTACATGAACTATTAAGTTTTATTACATACATATGCTGCATATACAATTGATATTTTTTGCAATACCTTCTGGGTAGCAATAGTTTACTGCCATTGTGGACAGTATTGGCAGCTACAATATTTTGTAACTAATTTTTGTTTTATTGCAGGAAATGGGCCGACATGATGATCTGTGGTCCCTTTTTTATATGCTGGTAGAATTTGCAGTTGGTCAACTTCCATGGCGCAAGATTAAAGATAAGGTAGAAAAAATGTAGTCAGCAACAATACAATACCTCCCTTTTCCACATCAATAATAAAGCAATAAAAAAAATCCTGCTGGATCAGGATGCTGGCTGGGGAATTCTGGGAGTTGAAGTCCGGACATCTTCAGGTTGCCAAGGTTGAGAAACACTCTGCTGGATTCTATAAAAGCCTGTGGGATGTCCACAGCAGTACATTAGATCATTTTCTTGATTGTGTATGCCAGCAGTCAAAGTTTCAGTGTTCAGAAACAATTTTGTTTTTGATACTGAAATTATATATAATCACAATGAACAGATATTAATATGTTAACTTGAAGCCATTTACCATCTTGTTTTGTTTGCCAATGATATTTATTATAAGTAGTATTCTATGATGATGGAATCTGGAATTTTCCAGAGGGCTTTTCTGGAGAGCTTTTAGGGTATAATGCAGGTGTTGTTTTTTTTAGTTTTTTAAATGTATTTATCTTATATATTATTAGTACATTCATTATTTTTGTGAGTCAGCAAAAATTTTGTTTATGATTACAGCATGCTATCATACATACATACATACATACATACATACATACATACATGCAAACAAAGAAATGCATTTGATCTGATATTTATTATATGAACTATACAATAGCAGAGTTGGAAGGGACCTTGGAGGTCTTCTAGTCCAACCCCCTGCCTAGGCAGGAAACCCTATACCATTTCAGACAAATGGCTATCCAACATCTTATTAAAGACTTCTAGCATTGGGGCATTCACAACTTCCCGGAGGCGACTTCTGTTCCACTGATTAATTGCTCTCACTGTCAGGAAGTTTCTCCTTAGTTCTAAGTTGCTTCTCTCCTTGATTA